TATGGTATCTCATTTCATCCGTGTCTATGGGTTATAAGTTCACACTAACAACGTAATTCTCAAGACTGTCTAGAATAATCAAGTGTTGTCATATTACTCTAGTAGATGACCCATATATACTCACTTGTTGTCGGATACAAACTCACCATTTATGGATGTCTAGAAAGCAGAGGACTACTACACTTCGCTTTAATCTCACACCTTACCCAAGAATGAGACTACTTACTTATTCAACTTACTTTTAACTAAGCATCATTTACAATACTTATTTTATAACTAGACAAGACTACAATACATGTAATCAACTTCCAATATAATTTCTTGTTCATGCAATACTATCATAATAGAGGGTATACATTTAGCACAAAATACAAATAGTAAGCATTTAGTATATATTTAATATTTTAAGTAATAAATACTTTTTATTAAGATCGTGCTCATGAAAGTAACTATGCAGTCACCTGATTAAAGGTAGAAGACTTTCAGGTAGGTTAACTCTTTGTCTAACACTTTTAATTTTCCTTTTAAATAACCTAAATACAAATATTACTAAGTTTTAGTCATCATTTATTTTATTCGATACTATAATAACAATATCTCAGATTCTTCATTAATCCCAAAGAATACTAAGTTCTATTAAATAAGGAATGACCATGTAAGATCATATTGGAGGTAGGATGTGTTTGGTATATAAATATATTGTTTGGAAAATCCACTTAAATTACTTCACTAAGATCTTGCCAATACATCACACATGTAAGTAGATCAGTCAGTAATTCACTATTATAACTAAAATTACTAATAAAATCTTATTTATAGGTTCATAATAACGATAATGAAGTTAAATATAAGTTACAGTTAAAAGCATAGTAAGTGCAACTCAACTTACTAGGCTTTCTAGCGAACTCAGAAATTTCGCGAGTGTAACTTCGTCGCTAAATACTTTTTTCAGGTTTTCCAAAGTTGTAGTGCCTTGCTAAGATTCTACACAAACTCATAAAAATTGTATCCCGAGAGTGCTGGAAAAGTTGAGAAAGAAAGGTATGAAAATGTGAGAAAAATGAGGTTATTTATAGGAATTTTTGAAAAGCGTGTCGCACTTACCACATATCGCATTCTTATGGTGCCATTCCATCGTCCGATTGGTAAGGGGAATGGGGTCTGCAGCTGTCACGTGGTGGCTTCCGATGCTACCACGTCATCTCAGGTTAAGTGGGATTGGAGAGCTCTTGATTTATAGGGAAAATTCTTGTTTCTTTGGAAAATTGTAACTTCCGTATACGCGCTACGTTTTCGACGTTCTTTATATCCACGGCTTCATAATTCTGTGTGCTACAACTTTCCTTTATATCTTAACAACTAATTCACAATCTATTTTCACTTTATATGTAATAAAGAGCACACCGTGAAATATGTTGTGAAATTCATAACTTCTTCATAAGAGATCTGATCTTGACGTTCTTCATGTCCATGGTTTCATAATCTCGTGTACATTGTACATCAACTTTCATTTACATTACTTTGGCTAACGAATAATATATTTTCTTTTCGTATTTTATAATAAATATCGGCGCAATACATTGTAATGTGTTACTTCGAAAAATCACAACTTTTTCATACGTTGTCAGATTTTGACAATCTTTATACTCACGAGTTCATATTCACAACCACTACAACCTTCATATATATTATTTATTCAAAATAATCTTTTAATTATAAACGTTATTTAACATAATTTGTTAAATTTATAATAAGATTTATAAAACAATTACATAACCATAATATTTATCCATATAACATGTACACAATACATATATAATTATCATTTCTATAAACATGTGTCGTGTATGAAGAATTTATATATATATATATATATATATATATATATATATATATATATATATATATATATATATATATCAAGGTTGTAAAAAACGTTCGACGTTAGTTAGTCGGTTGACTGGGGTCAAGGGATTAATCGGCTAGGCGGAGATTAATCGGAGGATTAATTGGGGACCATTAATTGTTAAGTTGTTGAATTTAAAAAATTAAATATGACTAATATCATATCAAATTTTGTAAATATCACTAATATGATAACAAAATAGGTTAATATGATTAATACAACACTAATCATGCCTTAAATAGTTTCCATTGAAATAAAACTTCTTCAAAATGTTAAAATTTCATCGTTTTATAATGTTTCACTCATTATGTATGAAAGGATTAATCGCTAGATGCCTTCTAATCGGTCGAGTAGCGCCTAGGGATTAATCGAAGATTAATCGGGACCTAGTCGGGATTTTTACAACAGTGATATATATATATATATATATATATATATATATATATATATATATATTATATATATATATATACATACACACACACACACACACAAACACAAACTAGGTTATAATCCTTGGAAACCACGCTTGACAACAAATCTATTTATATAATAAGATAAAAAAATTAATTATATAATTGGCATAAAAAGATGAAAATATTTTGTAACATCCCGAAAATTACCAAGAGATTTTTCATTTTTAAAATAAAATAACCAATTAAACATTTGCTTCAAAAACCATTGAGTAACATTTGTTTAATTGAAACCATACAGTATCATAGCTATATTTACAAAACCGCGGAAAAGAACATCTTCAATGCGTGTGTATAGTTCCGTTGAGCTCTTCTCATGAACGACCTGCAAAATGTTTAATCCACAACTGTAAGCATAAAGTTTAGTAAGTTCCTCAGTATATCACATAATTCCATCATACATACAAATACAATGCATCCACACAAAGTGTTCGGCTCTAGCGCCGACCAGCCAAATCATAGTCTTACATGCACATTTTGCCATGAGACAAATCATGGTCTTTCCTTACAATGTCGAGGGCTAAATCCTGGTCTTACATTCAACTGTCGTGGGCCAGATCCTGGTCTTCCATACAACTGCCAGAGGCCAGATCCTAGTCTTTCATATAATTGTCAAGGGTCAAATCCTGGTCTTTCATACAATTGTCAGGGGTCATATCTTGGTCTTTCATACAATACATAAAGTCATATGTAGTTAGGGATCAGATAAACAATTGAACAAATGACCCACCTGAGAGCGAACAGTTAGACAAGAACATCACAATCATGCATTAGGCTAGGAGTTCTCAGGCTATCAGAACTTACACCACATAGAACCCAAGATATCATTATCACCTAACCATGTAACATAAACACCTAACAGATACTAGCATATTTATACCCTTAACAACTAGCATTCCCTAGTTACCCTACCATAAACCACTTCTCAATTAAGTCATTCGTTGGTCACTTATACATAATCCTGATAACTGGCCTACCCCAGTTACCCTAACCAAACATAACCCCTAACAGTATCATACGATCAACAGGCAAGACCTTACCAGCCTAGCCAACTGGCATACTTGTACTCTAACAATATCTATATCCTACCAATGAAAAGGATATACAATGAGAAATGTGGCATAGTGAGAAACTCACCTAAACTGAAGAACCAAAGAAGCACAGCAACACCCTTACACCTTGCACGGCTCAAACCCGCAAACCGACTAGCACCAAAAGAAATAAATCTTCAATCAGCAATCTAATTCCTCCAAGTTTGACCTCAAGTCAAACTGGTGAAATCCTCATCATATTTGCTTATCTTAAGCTTATTTTTGATTTAAAGGAGCGTAATTGAAATGCCCAATCGGACAATTTGTGAACATTTTCTTAAAAAGGTAATTTCGTATTTTTCACATTGTGTATGATTTTTATACTACATAGAAGTGATAATGTTTACCTTTTTAAGAAAATGTGAAAGTTGCCTTGAAATTGAGGAGCGTCTAGATATTATGGTCGATTAGCTCTTGCAGTTACATATTGGCATACTTATACAGGTATCATTATGTTAACATTCTTGAAATATTAATGAATAACCAAGTTTTTTTTTCTGAATTTTTATAGTTGTCAGAATCCTATGATTCCTCAACTTTTAGGGCATATGCTTGAAGGTGTGTTTGATTCTTTTTAAAAAGTGAAAATCTGAATTTTTTTATTATGTCATGTTGTAAGAATGTCTGGCTTTTGATTGAAAATGTATATCTGCCTTTTCATGATGCACATTTAAACTCATACAAGTGTTTTTATTCTCACATATATAAGTATTAAATTAAGATGCTCTCAGATTATCAATTCAAGTATATCCCTTTTGACTGTCATTCATGATTTAAAAAAAATATATTGCAATTTCATTAGAAATAATGAGTTTAAATCATCAAGAAGTTATGGTTGTTTTTGTTAATGAAGATCTGATTCTAAAAATGCATCACATTGAAGTGTTGTACTTTCAAAAAAACCTACACAATTATAGCACTCTACTTCCAATTTTTTCTTATTATGGTATTCTACTTAGCAACATAATTCTCCATAATGAATAAATAAACAAAGTAGGATGCCTTGACACGTAAACAGGAATACAGGATAAAGTCCAATGTTTTGATAGAAACAAATGTGAGAAAGATGATCGGTAGGGATATCATATTTATGTTTCAAATTGATACTTCTTAGGAAAAGTTTCAATCATACTATTTTATCGTTTGTATTGCATTAAAATGACCTTTATACCCTTCATCTTCTTAGTACCATTTAGTGTTCTTATATGCGTATTTATTCTCTTTTTATCCTTACCCCACTTATTTAATTGCTATTTGTAGGTTCTATATATGTAGCTGATGACTTAGAATATTTCCATTGTTTGGGTATCCCTTCTTCCAATCTCATTAAATTTCTATATGTATGGTTATTCCCCCTTTACCCCTGATCATCTGGTTATGAGGTTTCACTCATGAATATAACTCAATGTTTGCTTGTTATTTTCATAATCATAGACGAGGCATTTTATTTGTTATTTTTGACTTAATCTGGATAAAATGACTTAATAGGTTAAGCAAAAACAACTCTTTACCTATTCTCCATTTGTTTTTCCTCACATTAAAATTGTTTTTGATGAATATTGTGAAATTTGCTTTCAAGGGTAAAATGGTCATTCAGTCTAGAGAAGAAAATGACCTTATGTGTACAACAGTTTATCCATGCATACATCATTACCCATATATGACTTGATTTCAGTTGGTGCATAGTATATTATACATCCATGTCTTTTTTTTCTTTATCAACTATTACGGGTCTGTTTGGGATGGAATGTAATCATAAAAGAATGGAATGGACAATACCATGGAATGAGAATAGATCATTGCATTCCAGTATGTACAAACAATATTAGAATTTTATTTATAATAAAAGGATTTAAATTGCAAAATAACATATATAGAAACATTCTTGTTGAAGCTATCAACACTTCTTTTGTAGCTTCTATGAAAGCATCGTCTGCCTACATAAAAAAAAAAAAAAAAAAAAAAAAAAAGTTCATAAATATCCAGTATTTAGGGTAATATTTTATATATGTTAATGTTACCTGTTTTCTAAATTTAGCAGCATCAATGTAATTTCGAGCCCTTGCAGCACTCTCTGCCTGCAATTATTAGTGAGTGATATTCAATGGATTAAACTGATTAAAACAAACAGAAATCGAATCTATTACCTCTGTTATACAAGATCTGTGGCTTTCAAAAAGGGCATCTGCAACTTCGTAGCAGTTACTGTAGCTGAGTTCTTTTCCTACAGAAAGCACAAATGCGTTTACATAACATTAGAAATGGAATGAATTCTTGGAGTCTTTTGATGACTTACCATCATATTTGACTCTCTTGCAGAAGATCGGCCCAAAAGACTTTAACTCCTCTATTGATTTTTCCCATGATTCTTGATCATCAACGAAATGAGTTCTTGGACTGTTTGGTACCGGAGTTCTTGGACTATTTGGTACTACCGGATTCTTGGGAGAACTTTTAGGTATTGAATAGATTGAGGCACTTAAGTATGAATCGAACCTTCTGCCACTAGACGATGGCGATGGCGATGGCGATGGTGAAGGTGATGGAGATGGAGATGGAGATGGAGATGCTGAAGGAGATGGCGATGCTGAACAAGCTGAATTATCAGTAGAAGTGGGTTTACCTACGTTCTTGGTTCTTATTCGAGGAATCTTAGGTGTGTTTGTTTTTGGAAAGCGAAAATGTCTTAAGGGCTGACCACCTCTGCAATGCTGACCGGGCAGAAGAGGTGGAACAAAAGGCTGGAGCATTTAATAAAAAGTATTTAATAAAAAGTTTGTTTGTTTTTTAACGTCTGCAGGAACAAAAGGCTGGAGCATTTAATAAAAAGTTTGTTTGTTTTTTAACGTCTGCAGACTGCTGTAGTAAGTTAAAGTAAGGCGCGAAGAGGTTTGAAGCAGTTGGTTTAGTGTTGCGTCACGCAGCACACGCGCAGCAGTTTTTAAGTCAGAAGTCTTCAGGAAAACAAACAGCTGCGAAAGGCCAAGTGTTGCGCGTGTGCTGCGCGGCACAGCAATAAGTGGTCTGAAGTGGTTTTTTTTTAAAAAAACAAACAGCACCTTAGGCATTGGAGAGATAGAGACACTTGAGGAAGAATTGAAATTGTTACTTCTACTAGACGATGGTGAAAGAGATGAATCAACATCAGAAGAAATGTTAACCACGTTGTCGGTGTCGGTGCCGGTGCCGGTGGAGGTGGTAGTGGCGGTGGCGTTATCGGGTTCCCCGTCTTTGTTGTTTCGCGATCGAACCATTTTTGCTTCTGAGCTTTTAGAAAATGGCTAAATTCATCTTCCTGAATATTAATAGTTGTGAAATAAGAGCTTTGATTTTTGGGAAGAACTTCTGAAGAATAGAAGACATTTACAATTATACCCTTTTGAGTTCATGAAAAAATAAGTTTTTTTTTTCAAAAATACGCGCCCAAGAATACAAGACATCAATCGTCCCTCATACACATATCAGAAAGCGTGTTTAGTCCTTATTTTCAAAAATTAACTCGGACCGTCCCTCATTTGGTTTAACTTTGCATGTTTCGTCCCTCAAATACGACTTTATTGCGAACTTAGTCCTTTCCAAAACTGAAATGACGATAATACCCTTATGTTTTTAATTTTCAATTAATTTAATGTTTTTATTGTTTTTGTTATCAATTTTTTTAAAAGAAAAATAGACCCTACATTTTCCCACCCTTCAATTGTTGCTAATCGGAAACAAACTCACAGATTTCCTAAAATTGTCGGCTAAATCGCTAGCCACAATCATCGTCCCCACCTCTGGAGAAGGTGACCTCGTAGAGCCACCATCACCACCTATCATTGCCTCCATCCAACTCCCTCACCCACAATCACATCCCATCCATCGATGTTCAAGCCACTTCCAGCGACATCTGAAGTCGTCGCCTCGCCGGATAAAGGTGACCTTGCAAAGCCATCATCACCACCTGTGTGACTCTTCCAGACCTCCTATCGCCACTATCTGAAACCCTATCGCCACCTTCAGACGCACATCTAAAAAGACGAAGGGATACGACATCGATCTAGGGTTTGTGTTATGACACTTCAGATGCAGACGACGATTTAGGGTTTGCGTTTACCTGTCTCTTGTTCTTCTCTGACCATTTATGACAGGGTTCGTCAACCTCTTCTTTCTTTTTGGTCCATGAAATGGAGTTATTAAAGAGAAAGGGCTACAAGAAAAAGAGAATGGTGAAGTTCTTGGAGAAAAAAAAATGGAGTTCTTTCTTTTCTGTTCAGAGTCGCCGGAGATGTTTTTGGGGTAACCGGAGATGAAAATGGCAAATATTGAATCTGAGAATACGATGGTGGTGATCTTTTGGTCTTTCCAGATAGTTAGGGAGACGAAAGAAATGTAGGGAAAGAAAAGGGGGGAGGGTGGGTAGGTGTATATATATTTTTCTTTTTTTTTATTAACTGAAAATGATAAAACAAATTAAAAAAATTAAAAAAACAAATTGTAAAGGGTAAAATAGTCTTTTTATGTCTTGAGAGATGAAGTGTGCAAGATTAAAACAAACGAGGGACGATCCGAGTTAATTTTTGAAAATAGAGACTAAACACGCTTTCTGACATGTGCACCAGGGACGATTGGTGTAATTCACCCTTTTCTATATACATATTGATATTACATATCCTTCCTTTTAATATGTATTTTTCTTTTTTGTTCATTCAATACGTATTTTTCTTTTTTGGTTCAATTTTACGTTATGCATTCTTTTTTTAGATTATAAACACTTTTAATAATAAAACAAATTTTTGAGGTTATAAAAATCTTAAATAACAAGTCAAAAAACAACCATAAACAATATTGCAAAAGCATTTCTTATACAAACCAAAAAATAACCGAAATTAGAAAATAGACAAGCAACCATTTAACAAAAAAAATATACAACTTCAAACTAGGGTATTCAAATCACAAAAAAAAATGTACATTGTCCAATCAAAATATTAAAACTAATATATGTCAATTATTCAAATTAAGTATATGATATATCATCATTTAAAAAAGTTAGATAATCAACTAAGTTGTTTTTGTGAATAGAATTGAAGTTTTTAGTGTTTGAGATTATTTCATAATCTTAAATCTTAGATGGGTATTGTATACTAGGATTTATTTCTCTCTCTTTTTTTTTTTTTTTTAGAGGTCTACCATTTGGCTGGCGAACCATGAGCACAAAGAACTACCAGATTCAGTCAAAAGTTTAGTAATCATTAAAATAGCAAATTCTTTTTTCCTTAAAGGCCACATTTTTTTTAAGACAATTCACTACACAACTTATCAAATTCGTTGGCACCATCATTATGTAAATCATCTTCTAAATTTAATCGTACTGTATCAATCCTCCCATATGGATCAATGAGATCCAATGACGGTTACATTCCTTGCAAATATTGGGCTCTGTGCAACTGCCCACTTTGCCCCCTCTTAACACCCCCCATGACAATGAATCAACTCGATTTGTGTTGGTGATTTTCGTGTTATCAACATATTTTAGTGTTATCAATATATTTTAGTGTAGTTAGTATAACTATCGAGACAGGTTGAGTTATGTTTGCTATCTGAGATTGGAGGTGTGGGGGTGCATACTCGGAATGTCAAATATGAACTCAGGAATACGGGGGTATGGGGACAGCGCCCTTGGTTATGGGGTTCCAAGGGACAGCCCCCCTGGGTGGGGGGGGTCTAGGAGCAGCTCCCCTTGCGGGGTCCAAGGGGTAGAGCACCTGGCGGTTGTGACATCATGATGATGTCATATTCGGTTATGTCTAAAAAACCATATTTCTAGCCATCTTTTTGGCACCAAAAATGTATGTAAGCCCCATTAACCAACTTTCAACCGATCTCTATCATCTATATAAGGTTGATTGAAGTTCCAAAATTCGGTTAGAACTTATATACTCGAAAATAGATCATTTGATCTCTTTGTCTCTTACAACAGCACATCAAGCAAAGGTATTTTGTGTCTCACAATTCGAATTATGTAACGTTGCAACTTCGGGATAGACAATTAAGATACAATAAGTGATAAGTATTATAATTTGAACTCTCGAATAGGGAAATCGTTAATCTTGCGCATTGGAGACTACTTATTATAAGTCTTTTAAGGAAATTATCGACAAAACGATAAAACGACATTTTTATAGAAGGTTATTTAAGATAAGTAATCTTAACCAAAGGATTTTGTATATATAAAGAGCTCTAAAATCTGACTTCGTATGAAGAAGTTATGCTTCTTCGAAGTTCAACGATTAAACCGACACAGCTACACGCGTTGTAAAAAGTGAATTTTAGATAGGTTGCTTTTTAGACTAAGAAATCTAATGGAAGCCATAGTAATCGTAAAACCAAGAGCGTGCATATAGAGAACGTCCAAATCTGACTTTGTATGAGGAAGTTATGATTTTTCGAAGTTTCGGTGCAGCGGTGCGGACATAGAAATCGAAACTCAAATCTATTGATTGTTAGCCGAAACAATCTAAATGATAGTTGAAGATCTCGTGATAAGGAGTCTGTCAATATAAAGATAGTCGAGAACAGATTTCATAGGAAAGAGTTATGAATTTTACACAGACTTTAACAGTCTAAACTGGTCTAAAGATGAATTTTAGTTAGAGTGAGAATTAGCAGTTAAGACCTTAATGGAAATTGTAGCGCTAATCGCGATGAATCTGATGATATAAAGAACGTCGAAAACGGAGCGTGTATGCGAAAGTTATGGTCTTCCGAAGATCTGTGAAAATTAACCTGTCGCAAGGACGTGACATGACCAGGAGGTGCCACATGGTGTGGTCAGAGAGCCGACTCCTTCGAGAGACATGGTGAAATGGCACCACGAAAAGTCGACACGTAGCCCATGGAGATTATGACACGTGACCATGCAGGAAGAGGCGTCAACTAAGCGACGTGGACCAAGGCGGAGGCAACACATGGCATCAAACAAAGGAGGACACGTCAGCAATGTGTGCGGCACAAACATATATGAGGCGCGACGTGCCTCCTTCTGTCACACCCCGCTCGGCGGCGGAAGCGCCGAGGTTGCGACATTGAAAATTGGATCACAATTAACAAACATACATCGAACAGTACACAACTTGAATAACATTACATGATTTTATAAATTCGAATATAGGGATTACATCATTTGTAATTTTGAAAACACAAGTTTACGAAACAAGATTAGCTAAACATAGTTTAACAAAAGAAAAAGGCCTGAACAGATTGTCCAACAACAAAAGACAAGAAAAGATAGGTTATTCCATTACTCATGAGGCTTGAAATCCAACTTCTAATTTCCTGAGATTACACATGTTTAAAAAATACGTCAACAATAATTGTTGTTGAGTTTAACAGGTTTTGATTCGTTTGTGCTGTTAAAAGATGATTTTTATATAAAAACGAACAGTTATCATATTATATAAAAATGTTACTTTTAGAATTCAAAGTGATAAAATAACAATAAGGAGTGTCATCCTAACCTAAATGTAATTGTACTTGTAATCACATACAAGTATAGATGTTGATTCACTTATGAAATATAAGTTGAAGCCAACATGATTTCGTGTTGTATATTCTTAAGTGTTTGTTTTATTTAAATAAAACACTACACTTAATTTTGATCTAAGAGTAAATCCATATACTACATACAGTTCTATTCTATTAGTATTTTTGTATCCATGATTATGTGGAGTTATAACCAAGCTATAGTGAGTTTTATAAAAAAAATTATAAAACATAGGATGTTTGCAAAGAAAAGTTTGTGCAGATATATAACTACAAATGCTACCAATATGATTTATGTGAAACTCATACTTGTAATCCGATACAAGTATTAATGTTAATTTACTTATAATGGATAAGTAAAAATCAACATATTTTGGTGAAGTAGAATATTAAGTGTTTATTTTATATAAATAAATACTAACAATTTGTTAAACATTCTACATGTGAATTCTTATACTACATACAACTTTATCTTAGTATGTGTTAGTATTTTTGTATCCGGGATTTTGTGGAATAATAACCGAACTATATGACTTGATCCTGTCTCCGTAAAGCACAGTTGTCTCCGTGAAGCACACTGAAAAATAGGTTGGTGCTTGTTCCAACGATGCTTCATCGACGTCGTGATAAAAGAGTAAGATAAAAACAAGAAGTTGTTGTCCGTTTTGTCTCGTCAAACGATGGTTGTAACTAGCAACCACAGACGGGGGTGTCAACCCGTATAGATCTATAC